GTTGATGTTACTGTTCATCCAAAAGAGAGAAAGACTAAGAATAGAAAGACTATAAGTCCTTACAAGCCAAGTGAATTACATTAACACAACTTTCATAATGTGCCATGCAGCTTAGTCTCAGCCGGAATCTTTGTAAAACTGTTATAAGTAAGAGTTTTGGTGTTACTGTTCCCCTAAGAAGAAAAAGCTTAAGAATAGAAAGCCTGAGTCCTTATAAGCCAAGAAAATTACATTAACATAACTTTCATAATGTGTCATGCAGCTTTGTCTTAGCCGGAATCTTTGTAAAACTGTTATAAGTAAGAGTTTTGGTGTTACTATTCCCCTAAGGAGAAAAAGCCTAAGAATAGAAAGCCTGAGTCCTTACAAGCCAAGTAAATTACATTAACATAACTTTCATAATGTGTCATGCAGCTTTGTCTTAGCCGGAATCTTTGTAAAACTGTTATAAGTAAGAGTTTTGGTGTTACTGTTCCCCTAAGGAGAAAAAGCCTAAGAATAGAAAGCCTGAGTCCTTACAAGCCAAGTAAATTACATTAACACAACTTTCATAATGTGTCATGCAGCTTTGTCTTAGCCGGAATGTTGGTAAAACTGTTATAAGTAAGAGTTGGCGTCTCTGTTCCCCAAAAGGAGAAGAGGTTATGAATAGAACGAATTAGGATTTTTGGCATCTCGCTCGATAGATCTAATTGTAGACGGTCATTTTCTAATGTAAATGTTATACATTTATTAGACAAAAATAGGAGAGTTGCGAAAAATGCACCTATACAGGCCCTCTGCAGGCAGGCCAGATTTCGTGTAGCCTCCGATAGTCATTGAACAGTCACATTATGAAAACAATGATTTCATCACTTTTACATTCTTATTGATTAATATACACGGGCCGGAGATCTCTCTATTACCGCAGGTTTTTTTCCAAAATATTAAAACGTGACCGAGAAATAGAAAAATATGTTATAACCACCGATTCTTTTGCCGCGAAAGTTGTAATTGTAATTCACAATATGCGGATAGATGTGATACTCGATACCGGATGTGTGACCTTCAACCTCGATTATGTCATCGTGGTGCATGCCGCATGGTAAGTCTTCTGTGCACCAGAAAGATTTCGTTTGGCCGATTTAAATCGCTCTGTACCTATATGCCCTCTTTACATTTGTGTTTCGCCGGCATATTAGCAAGTTTTTTTGTCTGGTTTCTTGCATGTACGGTTTGTGATAAACCTACCCGTGGATAAACTGATAATGAGTGAATGACACCGAAAACCCTTCTAATGATTTACACACCTTAATTATTTTTAATCTGATTACAGTTTAACAGATGGTAGCAGAGAGCCAAAGATTGAAATATCCTCAAATTGTCCTCCCCAAAAGAGTCAAGAAACGCGCACGTTTTATCCAATTCCCTCCAAACTTTGTCACATGATGTTTAACAATAGTACAGCAGCAAAACCGCGTTCGCGTTTTTGATTTAGTACCATACTTTTCAAGAACTTGGTTTGTTCAACATCATGTGGCAACGTTTGGAGAGAATCGGATAAAATGTGCGCGAAAATGTCCGTCTACAATTAGATCTATCGAGTGAGATGCCAAAAATCTAAATTCTTTTTATCCATAACCTCTTCCCCTTTTGGGGAACAGTAACACCAACTCTTACTAATAACAGTTTACCAAGGTCAAAGATTCCGGCTAAGACAAAGCTGCATGACACATTATGAAAGTTGTTTTAATGTAATTTACTTGGCTTGTAAGGACTCAGGCTTTCTATTCTTAGGCTTTTTCTCCTTAGGGGAACAGTAGCACCAAAACTCTTACTTATAACAGTTTTACAAAGATTCGGCCTAAGACAAAGCTGCATGACACATTATGAAAGTTATGTTAATGTAATTTACTTGGCTTATAAGGACTCAGGCTTTCTATTCTTAAGCTTTTTCTTCTTAGGGGAACAGTAACACCAAAACTCTTACTTATAACAGTTTTACAAAGATTCCGGCTGAGACTAAGCTGCATGGCACATTATGAAAGTTGTGTTAATGTAATTTACTTGGCTTCTAAGGACTTATAGGCTCTCTATTCTTAGTCTTTCTCTCTTTTGGATGAACAGTAACATCAACTCTTAATTATAACACTTCAACAAGCAATCCGGCCAATCATGTTATAGTATCGATGTTTTAATTTGCTTATATATATAAAGCTTGTAACATCGCAGTTTTAGTCAGTTGAATGTCGAGTTTAGTTTAGGACCAAGATCAAGCACGCTGCGAGTCGAATTGGATGGCTAGAATAATCACGGGTGCGAGAGGCATTGGAAGGGTTCTAGTTGAAGACGGCTTTAAATATCAGTTTAATCGATAGAGTCAATCGACGATGCATTGGCGATGTTGGCGAACAACTTGCGGCGCGCAACTAAAGACTAATCTCTTCGACAGGAATGATGAAGATCCAAACGTTAGAGTGGTGAAGAGAGAGCAGCATGATCACGAAGAAGACGATGCCGTTATACAGAAAGGAATCTTTCTCAACGATGCCAAAGGCAGTGTACGAGACGATCCAACCAGACCAATAAAGCGAGTTTATGACCAGCACGTTTCAACAATTCACAGAGAGGCTGGCGGATCCGATCAAGAAATTCCTGATTTCCAATCCGTTCGGTCACAAATGTCAAGGGTGAAATCGGCTGAAGTGCCCGACACGCCCCAAGATATCGACGACGTCAACATCGAAGGTTCCTGGGTACGATCATGGAGAAACAAAAGGTTCCTGCTACATCAGGACAATGATTGGGGCATCGCTATTTTCGGCGCTCGGAGAAATCTTTGTGCGCTTGATCAATGTCAACAATTATACATGGATGCAACTTTTCGCACAGCCCCACGACCATACGAGCAAGTTTTCACTATACTTGGCGAGTACTACGGACGAGTATTGCCACTGGCCATCGTACTTATGACAAATAGGGCTATTGGCCATTATAGGCAAGTGTTGCAAGTTCTCCAGCGTAAAATTCGGCGTGCGACTGGAAGTGAATGGGAACCCGAGGCAATTGTATGCGATTTTGAGCAAGCCCTAATCACTGCTATCCAGACGGAACTACCTAACACCAGAATAGAGGGATGCTATTTTCATTTTAACCAGTCTCTCTGGCGCCATGTCAAAGACCTTGGTTTGACCCGGGCCTATCGAAACCACGAGCGTGTGAAGAAGCTCATTAGAAAAGTAATGTCCATCGGTTTTTTGCCAACAGCCATCGTGAGAAATAACTTTGCATTACTGCGCACAGAAAATAGGACACGGCGATTGTTTAGGAGATATCCAGGTTTGGTGGAGTTTTTCAACTACGTATTCAACAACTACATCAATGGAAACTTTCCTGTAACTTTGTGGAATGTGTACGATCGTGACATGGATTGCCGTACAAACAATAACGCTGAAGGTAATTGCAGTTGATTTATCAATTATTGTGATTCGGTTTTCGCATGATATGTAGAATTATCAAGCCGAAGTTTGTGTTATCAACGTAGCCTAAGGTTGAGCTTAGTAACACGAACCGGAACAGAGGTCATGATAATTCTCCATATCAATAATTGTTTTATTATTTATTTAAATGATGGAACAGCCAATATATTTACGTGTATTCACAATTCTTCAGTACTTCGACAGTCCTCATGACGGCACTATTTGTGTTTGAGATGGCAGCAAAAAGACGAAAGTCTGATATCTCTAAAGTGATTCTCATTAAAATCTTGTCGTTCATATGGGCGTGATTGCTAATGTGTTTCCATGACAACCATATAAAAATAACAATTATATTGAATCAACTCTGAGATACAAACAGACTTTCATGTTTTTGGTACCATTCCAAGAACTACAAAAGTGGCAGCGTAACTCAAAACTCAAGACATGAAAAACTGTATATAACTGCCTATTTATATTCATGCGCGTTTGTCCACGTATATATTACTTGCAATTGTTCAATTTAGTGGTTTTATTATTAAGGCTTTCATCGCGCTTGGAACAACCGTGTGCAAGTACGCCATCCCAACTTGTGGATCTTTATAAGGCATTTGAAGGATCTTCAGGCTCAAACCAATCAAGGCATCCGTTCTATGGATAACGGTGAGCAACCCACACGAAGGCGTCACCGCTGGCAACGGTTAGAAAATCAACTTCAGAGATTGAAGACCGACTACATTAATGGAGTCAGAGATGTTCAGCGTTATTGGAATGCAGTATCGCATCTAGTAACTACATTTTAGAGCAATTCGAGCTGGGTCTTATCTAACATGCAGTACCATGACGTCATACTTGAACATATACGTCATACTTGAATATATAATTCGCTTTAAGGTGGCTCCATACAGTTTCTTGAAAAATTTCTCTCAGACCAAAACGTTTTGTACATTGATATTTTTATAGAAGAATGAAACCAGATGTCATGTAATATATGAACAACGAGAGCGAGTGTTTCACCGGGATATCCAAACACGAGAAAACAATGTATGAGAACACGAGCGCGAAGCGCGAGTGTTTTCATACATTGTTTTCGAGTGTTTGGATATCCCGGTGAGACACGAGCTCGAGTTGTTTATATGGCTTCTCAAATGAATCGAGACGTAACCGAATGTTTTCGTTTGCTGATTTGAATAGAATTCTTAACCAAACATAACGTAATTAGGAATTCTATTCAAGTAATTTTGCATGCGTAATTAAGATATTTGATGAAAACACTAGTGACTTTCATCAAGTATCCAAATGGCATCTTGTGATCAAATAGGTGATTATCAATGGCTGAATTACTCATGAATTATTAATGAATTTGAGAAGTATATAGAACAGTATTTTGAGAATCAGAAACTGTAACGGAAAAGTCCGTAATTATGGTTACCATGGCAACAATGGCATTTCAAAAAATGGCTGCTAATTTGCATTTAAACTAGTTTAATTCGAAGACAACAATGGTGCCCCCCAATTTTTATTTTATTAAAAGTTTTTCCTAGTATGAGCAATCATTAGGACAATTTATTGAAGAAATTGTATGGAGCTACCTTAAAACATTTGTTGAGGGTAGAAGGAACCTCAAAAAGTGCCTATATTTACACTAATTCTTTGGTTCAGATTTAGGGTATTGGTTTAGGATTGGGAAATTCAGGCCACGTCATGGCGTGTTACAGTTGTAGATAGCTAATAATAATTGAACGTTGTTGTCTCGCAATCATTATGAAACTCTCAGTTATGCATTTATGTCCTGCAAACAGCTACAATATAATAAATAGAATAATCTTTTGAACACTTTTTTATTTTAGCATAGCAATTTTGTCATTTAGGTAAAGCAGCATGAAGAAATATGCATTAAATAAAAGAAAATATGTTGTTTCGTTATCTTAATGAGTCACAACTTGTGCAAGCTAGATGTTACTCACAGGACAAATTTCAATGATGAACCGTAACAATCAAATTTCACGTAGCATCCGTAGTCATTGGTCACATTGCCTTAAGGCTGCTTTCAAGTTGCGCATTTTTTTACGTACGTATACACTCGGAAAAGTTTAAATCTTTCTAAATAATTGCTTAAAAAGTACACTTAAAATCAAACACAAAACTAAATGCTTTCCTTTTATTCATTTAATTATTTCTCAAGTGGACAAAAGACTTTCAAGTGGATTTAAATTTTTCCGTGCGTGCGTGTATGCAGGTACGAAAAATGCTTAACTGCGAAGCAGCCAAGTTTAACACGTAATTGTAATTCAAAACCAGCGTATGTTTTGGACTAGCTATAGTGAACCTTCGGAGTAGTGAACCTTCGGAGTAGTGAACCTTCGGAGTAGTGAACCTTCGGAGTAGTAAACCTTCGGAGTAGTGAACCTTCGGACTAGTGAACCTTCGGACTAGTGAACCTTCGGACTAGTGAACCTTCGGACTAGTGAACCGTAACCTTTTATTGTAACAACAACACGGTAATGTGAGATGCCTTGAACTGCCCGTAAAATCTCATACCAAACCACGAGCTGTCTGTAGAAAACTGCGCGTAAGAACCTATAAAATATATAATATTAAATAAATGTGCGCGCACAATATGTTAATGCTTGTTTAATAACAACATCGGCATAGTAGGCATACTTCAGGTTGACAGAAATGACCACATTCACACCTTATAAAAAATGCAAAATAGAAGTTCAGAGATACGTTTTAATTCATTACACCGGCAAATAAGAACACAAACTTACCAAGACGATACATCAACATGCATGGCCTTCAAAACGATTTTGTAACATATTTTCGAGCTGTTCGTCTTCTGCTATAGCTTCGTCGACCTCGTACTCGGCTACCTCTTCAGGCGAGGCAAGCGGCTCCAGCAATAGTCAGCAATAGTATCATCAAATGGCAAAAATTCATTGTCAAGTTCGCTTGAATTCGCTGTTATATAAACAGATGAGATGCGGGAGAATCTGTTTCAGACAAATACTCCGAAACGCTACTAGCTAGATCGCGACGAAACTGACATTTTAGTTCTTGAAATACATGCTATGCTCTACGTTTGCTTACTAATTTTGCGGTGTGTTGAGACTATGACGTCAGAAGCCTCTCGTGACAATATAAAATCAAGATGGCGGATTTTAATGGCGGACAGCGATTTTGGACATTTCAAATGCTCGTAACTCCGTGGTTGTTAATCATGTTCGCCTGAAATTTTACACAAGCATTTTTGGTGCAACAATAGAGTCGTTGCTAGCAAAAAAGGGAATTTTCTCGATGATGAATTTTCGTCACAGTAGCATTATATCTTCTCTTCAATTTGACGTTGTGTTGAAAATTGTAAATTATATGGTTTTGACATAAACTATTGACGATAAAAGGTTTTGCCTGAAGAGATGTAATGGATTTCTAAATGATTCAAATATTAGAAATGTGTATAATCATGATCCTTGTTCTGCATGATATAAACACTGTAATGACTGCCAAATCAAGCTGGTAATGAGTAAGAAACAAAACAGGATAGAAGAGAACAAAAAACAAAGCAAAAAACAATCTGTTAAATCATGATCCTTGATTTGCATGATATAGACAATATAATGACTTCTTCTATTTCCTGCCTAATTAAGCTGGTAATCCGTAATAAACAAAACAGAACAAAAAAAACCCAAAACAAAACAAAACAGAAAACAAAACAAAAAAAATATGTAAAATCATAATCCTTGATCTGCATGATATAGACAATGTAATGACTTCTTCTATTTCGTGCCAAATCAAGCTGGTAATGCGTAATAAACAAAACAGGACACAACAAAACAGAACAGAACAAAAAAACAAAAAAGAAAACAAAAAAGAAAAGAAAAGAAAACAAAACACAAAACAATACAAAACAACACAAAAACGCACAAAACAACACAAAACAAAACAACACAAAACAACACAAAACACAAAACAACACAAAACAACACAAAACACAAAACAACACAAAACAAAATAAAACAAAACAAAAACAATATGTAAAATCATGATCCTTGATCTGCATGATATAAACACTGTAATGACTTCTTCCATTTCCTGTCAAATCAAGCTGGTAATGCGCAATAAACAGAACAGGACAGGACATGACATGACATGACATGACATGACATGACATGACATGACAGGACAGAACAGGACAGAACAGAACAGAACAGAACAGAACAGAACAAAACAAAAAACAATATGTAAAATCATGATCCTTGATCTGCATGATATAAACAATGTAATTACTTCTTTTATTTCCTGTCAAATCGAGCTGGTAATGGCACAGAACAGAACGGAACGGAACAGAACAGAACAGAACAGAACAGAACAGAGCAGAGCAGAGCAGAGCAGAGCAGAGCAGAACAGAGCAGAACAGAACAGAACAGAACAGAACAGAACAGAACAGAACAGAACAGAACAGAACAGAACAGAACAAAACAAAAAAACAATATGTAAAATCATGATCTTTGATCTGCATGATATAAACAATGTAATTACTTCTTTTATTTCCTGTCAAATCAAGCTGGTAATGGTACAGAACGGAACGGAACGGGACAGGACAGGACAGGACAGGACAGGACCGAACAGAACAGACTGCTCTGAGCAGTAACTATTGCTTCCCCCCCCCAAAAAAAAAATGGCTGAAAATCAGACCGAAGTAAATTATTTATGCAAATTATATTCATAAAATAAACACGTGTATTAGTTGTATTTATAAAAACAACTTTTTTCATACTGAAATTATGCTAAAACAATTAGTCGCCCCAGGCTCGGTGATTACAGGTCTATATTCACCTTGCCTTCGGCGACTAATTGTTAAGTAAGTCAGTTTAGCATTTTCTAAACTTATAGCTTTTTACTCAAACTGGATGTGATGACGAGCCATTACTGGAACATATTAATGAACTGTTATCTGAAGTGAGAGAGAAAACGAACAATGATGGAGAGAATGTGGAACAAGATGGTGATACAAATGATGATGATGAACCCAAGTCAATGGATACGAATGAATAGCTTGGTGCACGTCAAGCAATGGCCTCAAGTAAGGGAGAAAAATATCATTCGTTGTACAACTACTTTACAGTATGCAATAAAGATTGCCTAAAGGTCAAAACCCAGCCCCGTATCATGCAGGCTCAATTTGTTTGTTCGGGAAAATACAATAAACATGTGATAGTGATAAACCAATCAGCTTTTGCACAGATTCAGACAATGGCATGTAGGTAATCAGTCATTATAGATAGTATTTCTGTTGTGTTTCCTATCCTTTTGTCATGTCTTTAAACTTCATTGCTCACTAACACATGCAATTTAATATGTATATACTAATGTTAGGTTAACATTCCTGCATATAGTTCAATAACATGCGCCGACTTGGGGGTCTAACCAAGGTGCAACAGGGTGACGTCTTCAGTACACCTTCCTTGGTCTATTGACTATATATGCGATTCTATGCAATAATGAAAGAACAGAGCAACCTTGGTTACATCTGTATGTATAGGCCTTTATGGTGATCCCCAAACCAACGGCGCGAACCCCGGGACGAGGGTACTAATTAATTCCGCTCGGCTATTTATACAAACAACAAATGTGGCTTGACCGATATCGAATTCACATACAAACCAGTGCCTAAAGCAAAAAATATTTTTACCGTATTGACGAGCAAACTGTTTGGCGGTGACGTGAAATAAAACGAATTAATTTTACATTAAAATGAATCCTATTGAACGCCAAATAATGGCATAGCAGTACATTCTAGAATTTCAAAGTCAATGATTCTGCAGTTAAAAATTTTTATGAATTCTCCCTTTTTGTTGGGGTTGGTGCATGCCTGTATTTCTAGTAACGTTAATAAACAAAACCATGTTGAAAGGAGGAAAGGTCGCCCAAAAATAATAAAACAATATGATACATTTGCCTTTAATCATTTTATTCAATTCATTTGTATTTTCACAATCATTGAGGTAATTATGTATTGCTATCAAACTACTGGTGGTATATTAAAATTACAGTCCTGTAACTTGCTTCACCCAGGGGTAAAGGTTGGCAACATGAGCATAAACTCCATAGTATCCGGCAGATGCACACCCACGACCCCAGCTCGTCACACCACTAAGATGCCATGAACCATCACTATGTTCACAAACCAATGGACCTGCGAAAGGAAAACAGGTTAAGACAAAATTTATTTGTGGATCGGTCGGAAGTAATTCTTTCTTGTGGTTTTAGTCGGTCTGGTTTTTGTTGAACTAAGTGGTATAAAGGTTAGCCTAGTGGTTGCTGGCATGTCGTTTTGACTGTGATGAACAAATCATATCTATTCTTGAGTCTTACCTCCGCTGTCACCTTGGCAAGTGTCAATACCACCTCGAGAATATCCAGCGCAAAGCATTCTATCAGTAATGCTGCTGCCGTATGACTTTTTGCATTCTTGTGTAGTTACAATGGGAACTTGAGCTTCCTGTAAGACCTTTGGCGTTGATCCCCCACTTTTCAGTCTGCCCCATCCAGTGATGTAACAACGTTGACCTATATAGAAATACCATTATAATTTTGGTAATTCATCTATACAGTATGTATATGATCGTTTGTTTTGGAGGTAGCGTTCAGGATATTATGAGTTCGATGCTAAGGGAGATTACCATCACGTGCATGCATTACCATAAATGGGCATTTGTGATGTGATAATGTATTTGCATTGGTTAATTTTGTATTATTGCTATTTTGCTAATAGGCGTTTTACGAGTAGAAAATTCCAACCTGAATTCAAAAAGCGCTTGTGCAATCTAGTCTTCGGGGCCTGGATAGTGATTTTTGTCGTTACAAAAATTATTGAAAAGATTATTAAAACTACGTATATTGACCTCATAACTAATAAAAATAAACTTTAATTTTATCTATACTGAAGTTTAATCAAGGTTTATTCAACGGATACTTTTAGAAAGCTTGAAAAAATATCGATTGATAGCGCTGTATGCCCGGCCATTGTACAACCAGCCCTGGAACTTTTCATGTGCTAAACCAAATGCAAAGGAGCTCAAACAATGAGTGTAGGACTGTATGTTATTTAAAGCACGATGTTTCAACGTTCCCTTACTTGGACTGTTGATAATGATAAACATGATATTGATAATAACAGTATCAATCAATACCTCGCCTTTCAGGCTTTCTATTGCTCTAAAAATAACGTTACTTTACCAGTGAAATCTATGCCCCTGTTTATACAGACGGGCTTTATCCTTTGTGTAAACTGAACACTTCTGGAAAGTCTGATGACTGCAATATCATAATCCGTTCTTCCTTTGTTGTACTGCGGATGAACCGTAATGCCATTTCTTGCAATACTGATATCTTGTTCGTGTCCTTCATTCACGCGCATATCATGTTCACCTACTCTGATCTGAAAATGGGAAATTAGTCAGAACAAAGTGTGACTGAAATGGAAAAAGAAGAATGTATATAAACCATAGAAGACTACAAAGGTTTCTCTTTTCACTAGTTTTATTCAAATTGGAAAGATACGAAGACTCAGTTCGTCAGTATTATCATTGATCTGGAATTATATCCGGAAGTGGTAATAACTATTGTGTTGGATTGTAATACAGTAAACACATTATTGGAAACAATGGGGAATTTAAGAAAAATTATTTGGGTGGGATAATTCTTAAAACCAAGCATCCAGGAGACCCATGGTGCGTAGGAAAAGCAAGAGAGGGCAGCTAAGATAACTTGAGCGTTTGTAGATACTCTGTTAAGGGACGTCTGAAGGTCAAGGGGGGAAGGAGTACAAACAGTCAGGATACCATCATTGAACATTCAAACAGGGTTCCAGTGGGCTTGGCCAGGCATGGTTACATGAGCTTTAATTAATTACCTTCACGCGATTCCAATCCGTCGATTTGACGCAGTGAGCAGCAGTAATAACGTATTGATTTGAAACAAGTGAACCACCACAGAATGGGAATGTTCCTCGCAAAAGTGATACTTGCCATGGCCATTCACCTGGTGTGGCTTCTTGACCACCGACAATTTTGGGGAAGTCACTCAGACCACGTCCTTTCTCGCCACATGATCCTGATGGAGGCCTGGGTGTTACTGGAGGTTTTGTACCAGGAGATCCTGAACATTGACCAGATGTGATTGAAATCTCATCCAATGCAATGTCACCTTGGTAATTATTTCCTCTTACTCCACTGAATACAACCTTTGAAAAACAAATTAAAATGAAATACCGTTCATAGAGATCATGATGGAGACTACGTTTACACCATATCGGATTGATCGTTTCATAAAGCCATACAATATAGTGTAAAAATCAATGTTTTGTATCGTTTTGAAATACTATCGATATAATTTAATCGCGAGGTTAGAACCTACGTTTTGAATATTCAGTTTACCATAGCTCGTTCGTACAGAAAACCCTATTTGCGACAGGATCATAACACTGACCATACTAATGATGTAATATATAAAACCCTTTTGTATTTTCCAAAAACCCGTACCCTATACAGATCCGAAACGACCGCTATCCGACCTGAAACGTCGTAATAATTTTCAGCAGCGGAACTCCGTTCCAAAATCACTTCAGAAATAGTTTTCTTAATGTCAATGGATCTGAAATCGTTTTCCCTACAGAAAACATCCGGCATAGTGAAAACGTTACTGGAGTCTCATAACGTTATGACACATAAATATTCATTGCAGGGAAATGTAGTTGCATCGTCAGAGCTACTCGTGGTAGCTTTCCTCTTGGCTCCATTCTCACTCTGTTGGAGTTTCCGCGGGTGGTCTTTAAAGTGAGATCATATAAGATCAATATATTTACCAACCCTTATCAGGAAACAAAGTTGTATATACTTACAGAATAATGGTTTCCATTTTTTATTTGTACTTCAGCTTTCTTCCATTGGTTGCCCTGCTCACCAGATTTCTTGAACAGCTCCACCATTCGACCACCCATATTTTGATAGACGATAAGAGATCCCGTGCTAGCGCCGTACATGTGGTAAGAGAATTTCAAACATTGAGTGCCGCTGACTTGGGGACTGACGAGATAGGCTTTCTGACCTTGCACTCTGGGACTTGATGTCTCAATATAGACATACTTGCCTGCAAGTGAAAACAAACATTATAAATACATTTAATTATTATTGTTTCATTCATTATTTTACTTTGATATTATATCACAAACTCATTAATAATTCATGAACATTATCAAACCATGCAGGTTGGAGGCTTCCACAGAGGATTGTAGGCTCAGGGTTTGAGATTGCCAACCATGTTGTTTTATTTTGCTCACATAATGATACTGGATACCAGGCGAAGTATTAATTTACTTTAATTTTTAAAAGTAGTGATTTAGTATGAGATGTTATTGCAAAACCTCGTACTGGAGGGGATTTCAAGTTCTCGCAGTTAACTTGGACTAGAATCAAGTGCTTGGGCGTTAAGTCCCATTCAGTCCTCATTTCGAATTTGAAATATTAAACAATATGCTAGAGGGATTGTAGGGTCAAAGTACTCGGAATATATACAAGAACGTCGACCTTTCTAGCGAAAGGCATTCGTCTGGAAGTTCTTGTTACATTTTTTTAGATTATTTGGTCCTACAATCTCTTAAGATTATTATTCATCGCTACCTATACACTCAAGATTATACAATATGACATTTAATTCAGTAATTTAAATAATACGAAACTATCAGGCTATTACCATTCCCTGAAACGTCTCGCGAAGGTCCCGTGCCACCACTTGGTGTACTTCCACTACGAACTGTCCAGTCAAAATCATCATTGGCACCATTTGTGAAGGAACACAAACCTTGATCAAAGTTGCATCTCACTATAGGAGAGAAGAAAATAGTTCGCATAAGAAAAGTGTCGCAAATAGATCAGTAAAGGGGTACTGGAAAGCTGGGCGAGTAATGTGGTACATTGTTGTCTAGAGGTATTGGACATGGTATTAATAAAACGGTGTAAAGAACTTGGAATAATAAAAGGGCAAAAGGTGTACACTGTCGTTACCATGCACTGGACGTCGTAATCAGTCGGTCTATAGACACGTTAGAAAGATAAAAGAGCAATGAGGCACATTCTCCTCAAGAAATATTTGACATTGTGATAAGTCCGTGTAATTATAGGGTGCATTCCTGTCAAGATTTGTCAAGAGAAAATGGACGTCGTGATCAGTCTGTATAGAAACCTTCGAAAATTTAAGGAACAATGAAGCACATTCTTGTCAAGAAATGTTGTCCGTCGTATAGGTTGATATAAGGACATTGAAAGATAAGGATGATGTGACACATTATCGTCAAGACGTATTGGATATCGTAATAAGTCGGATAAAGAACTTTGGAAAGATAAAGGGGGAATTATGAGTACGTTCCCGTCAAGAACTATTGGACGTCGTAATAAGTCATTGTAGGAACGTTGGAAAGATAAAAGGAAAATACTTGAAACATTCTTCCAACAATACCTATTGGACAATGTAACAGTATCTAGTGGATGTTGTTATAAGAAAAAATTGGGGAGATAAAAGAACAGCGAGGCGCATTGCCATCTAGACGTATTTGGATAAGTTGGTATAGAGACCTTGGAAAGAAAAAGGGAAAGTGAAACACGTTCACGTCAAGACGTTTGAAATGTTGTAGTAAATCTCGATATCGACCTTGAAAGGATAGAAGGGCAACGAGGCAAATTCATCTCAAAAGGAATTGGATGTAGCAGTAAGTTGGTATACAGACTTTGGAAGATGAAAGGGCAGTGGAACACAACCCGGGCATGTGACCATCATTGGTATATAATTAATGACTTGGTTGTTTTAACTAAAAAATGGTAAATGGTGGTAGAGTACCTGCTTGTGTCGGAGGGTTTGTTGGTCTTGTTGGAGGGTTTGTTGGTCTTGTTGGAGGGTTTGTTGGTCGAGGTGTTGGTGGTTTTGGTGTTTGGAATGAGCAACTTCCTGGAGTAAAGCTGATTGCATCGATTGCAATATCACCTTGGTAACCACGAGCGCGAACACCTTCAAACTTAACCTTCATAATTTAAACAAAAATGTGAATCATCAGTTACTTCATTTTGGCTCTTAAAACAATTTTTTTGTACAAGAACAGCGTTGAATTAATCTTTCGGGTTGCTGCAACCCAAGAAAAAAATGACCGAGGTTCGTACCGAAGTTTTCTCGGGCCCTACGAATAGTCTTTTCCTAAAATATTGTGCCATCGTCTGTATATCTGAAATACCGCTCTCTTTGCTTACCATATATCTTCCACTTTGTAAGATTGGCATTTCCACACCCACCCATTGGTTTCCTTGATTTCCCGATTTTGAAAACATCCTTTGGTTATTGGCATAGATGTTTAGGTTTCCAATATGAGTACCGTACATATGGTAAGAAAATTTCATGCATTGCGGGCCGTTCAAGTAAGGTGTTAGAATTGTAGCTTTATCACCGAACTGTCGTGGATTTGAAGTTTCAATGAACAGATAAGAACCTGTAAAAAGTTGGAAAAATACGTTCATTTAATTAACAAAACAACATTTACCGTAACTTTGCGAAAGGATTTGTTAAGGGTTTTTCAAATGAAATTAAGAACTCACAAGAGGTGCCCTGGACGTAGCTGTAATTATTTCGTGAATATGAGCGCCGAGGATATCCAATATTCACGCTTTTTTCGGTTTCACTTTCAGTGCATTATTACACTAATCTGCATATTATAGTAAACTATATGCAGAATCCTGTGTAGGGAAGTCCTGTGTAGGCAGTAGGCCCCAGTAGACTAAATCACTTTGGAGGTTTTTACCAAGCTACTTAAAAAATAAGAAAACTGAACCAATTTGCAGATGAGGAGCATCTATACTCAAAAAGTTTAAATTTTCTTACCTATTCAGGGTAGTTCGAGCAAAACATCGACAGTTTAATAAGCTAACGACTCGCATTATTATTGTTAACAATCGAATAAGTTATTGTTAAGATCCCACACAAACCTAATTGGGATTTATCGTAAATCTCTAAACCAAATGCAAAAGAAATCTGATCGCAACCCAAATCATATCGTTCACTGTTTCTAAAACCTGAACGTTTATTTAACAGTTTACCTCTGCCGCTGACGTCAGAGCTTGGTCCTGTTCCACTACTGGGTGTAGAACCTCTATTAACCTTCCAATTAAACTGTCCAGCACCATTTTGATAACTGCAGATATTTCCATTGTCAAAGTTACAATTGGCTAAACGAAATGAAATTACGAAGGTGAAATTTATTTGATTAAATTAAGTCAGCACCTTGTGTATTATCATCTGAAAAAGTGTATTCTAATATTACATGTAAATAGTTATTGTATATTTTAAACAGTTATGTTTAGGGTTAGCACCACGATCTCCAATAACTTATTATAGCATTTGGATTACTCTGTCAATAATCCAATTTATCCAAATGTGAGAGTTTGTAATTGTGCTTTACTTGCTGGACATTCGATGGAAAAAAGTCATTAGCTCTTTGCGTAAGTTTATACGCGTAACCGATGAATGGCTAGCATGTGAACAGACCTAACTCGCTTCCAGTTAGGTGTCATTTAACTCGCCATGAATCCGCCCAGGCCTCACGAAGTGGGAACTCAAGTGGGGAAAGGAAAACTCTACACTTGACCTGGAATGGAAGATGGAAACGTAACTCTGCAGTCACAGAATAAATAGTGAATCCAACCCATAATAACATAGGAAAGCAAGGTTGAAATGACAGATGTGGTTAGCTCCTTATCTCTGAATTGACCCTGCTGCGGCTAATCCATCGTATGGCGTTTACTTACATTGAGTTACTCAATGAGCTTGATTGGTTGGTTCTCTCCTGTGCTTAGATGTGGTTTTTCCGGGTCGACAGCTTTTTTCCCTCATCAAAAACTAATCCCTTGGGCATTACTTGTCGGGCACATGTGTCGTTAGCCTCTGGCTGGGGTGAATTGGCACCCTGTGCAATTGCATTAAGAGAACTAGTAAAGATAACATTAAATAAAATGTTACCTGATGAAGGGCGTGGTGGAGAAGGAGGGCGTGGTGATGGTGTCTGTGGCGGTGGTGGTGTCTGTGGGGGTGGTTGCACATTACCAACATGTTGTTTTATCCAGTTGGTAAATTCTGCAACACGTGCAAATACTGTGAATTCATTATGACCAGCACTGCACGTTCTACTTCCCCAAGAAACAGCCCCGTGTAAGATCCAACGATTTGATGATTTATCACGGCAGACAAACGGTCCTCCAGAGTCACCCATGCAACCACTGACTGTGCTAGAACCACCAAAACCGGCACAAATCTGGCAAAATATTAAGTAAACACATATGAGAATGCATATGGTGAATATTTGTAAGGTACTTACTGTACCTGACTATTTTATTAATTGATCAAAGCAATTGGTAAGATGACAAATGTGACATTAACAAGTTTTATTTAAAATTGGTTAATGGTTGGTGAAATGTGTTTCAGGAAATGCTGTAGCCACTCATTGTAAACAATAAAACATTGCGAAAATATTGGAAAATTTTGCTTTTTCCCAAAATGTCTTCCCGTTTGCATCTGCTTCCTCTGCAGATTCCCTACTGCAACATGGAAAGGTCACCCGCACAGTTTATACAGGGAATTTCTAGAACCTGTTACATTCCCATAAAACAGCGAGAGGTATGGTTGAGTAGGTAGAAGTTCTGTTGTCCTTTCTCGGGAACATTGTTGCATGTAGACATACAGGAGTATTTCCTCTCTTGATTGATATGCCAGATTGGTTAGATACTTATGTAGTCAAGAAATTTACTGTATGGGTAAATGTTTCTGAAAATATTTCCTTATTTGCTAACAACTGTGAAACATAGCTCGACACAGTGGAAGTTTATCTGATATTTACCATTTGTCGGGTCACTCCAGATCCCATATGTTGACGACATTTTGACTCGGAGATAACAGGAAGTTTTGCTTGTTGAAGAACTGTTGCTCCTGGTTTGCTTGCACCAGTACGTCCCCAACCTGTCGTATTATGTCACACACATTTCATTTTAATACGTGAGATTTTTTTATCAAATTTAGCTAAAGACTAACGTTAGAATCCGTGTTTCTCGTGTTAGATATCTCTTCGCTTAGTGATAAAGGTTTCTCTATGCAGTACCTTCATGAAATTACATGGCAACGATACAGGAAGACGTACAGAAAGCTGAAGAATACCATAAGAATCGACAACATTGCCAGAAAAGTAAACAGGTTCTCCCGGAAACCAAAACGATTAAATTTATTTTCACCATGCAAACATGCAAAGAACTTATTTATTTATTAAAATAAATTCCCTCACCTGTGATGTAGCATTCTTGTCCAGAAACCTCATCAACACTGACACCTTGTTGTGGAAGACAGACAGGTCGAATTTGTGGTTTTAGTGATACTCTTCGGGCCAGCTTGACCAGAGCTAAAATGAAACAGGAAAATAATAGGTAATTTGGAACTGTATTAAATGTAGCATAACTGACCACAATTCTGTACAGTATTGATGAAAAGTATAGCTTTACTATACCTCTACTAGGAAGTTTTGTGTTTACCTCAATTGTTTTGGTGTGTTTCGTCTGTCAGTAGGTCAGGCAGGATAACTCAATAGTCATTTGATGAACGTTTTTGGAGCCCTTGGCCATAGCCCAAAGAAATATAAATCAAATTTTGATTTAATTTGGATGAAAATTACTTGAGAAATGTACCAAAGTAATTAATCCATGTCTAATTTATGCATGGCTACTTGACTTTCGATGGCGGAGGTATACAGTCTTGAGTTTTCGCTAGTTAACCAATAGATGCACTGTTATTTGGAGGGCGTTACCTTAACTCCACGAACAATAACTCATGCATGGTGGTTTGTGTTAGAGAACTGAGATGCCTGTTTTTGGAAAAAAGATGAAGAAACAGAAACGTTTTGGCATTCCTCCCTCCTTTCCAACATTCTCGCCTCATTATTGCTATAATTTTCTCATGAATCAAAATTTTGATGAAAAGGACCACAAATCCCTGTTATAGGGGTAGATTCCGAGGACAGTAGATACCTAGGAATCCTCGTGAAAAATCTTTTCTACATTCCTTGAAATACTTTGAAGCTAATTTCTATAGTTTGGGAATACTGGTGTTGCCACTTTCCAGTTATTTAGAAGGCAAACGGTTAGTTATTTTGTCCATACAGTCCAATATCCACAGATTGACATGCTATATGATATAGTTATTAAATCCAGTATAAAATCCTGAAACATCTATTAAAGCTAACATAGTAATATTACAAAATATAGTGGAGACATTTTTAGGACATCTTGTACCGTCGATCTTTTGTGCTATTGTTGGCATCTCAAATCCTTTAATTTCTTTGCTTGTGCTCAGTCTGTATTGTCGAACTTACCAATGTCATTATTTAATCTGGCATATCCAGGATGAACAATAATTCTTTCAACACGACTGTCCATCTCATTGCCTTCATTTGAGTTGAAATTATGTTCACCTGAAAAAATCATGATATCTTTATGCCAAACAGAACAACTTGAGTTGATATTCTATAAATTGCATTGAAATGACGCGTTTTGGAGTGGGATAAGATTCGACGTTAAAAAATTCAAAATGTGCATTTTTAAGTACTTAAAAATACTTCTTAAATTGTTTTTTTCTCTATGCCTGTTTTATGAATAACTATGAAACATGGGAAATTCAAAGCGATTCAGGGTACTCGACTGAAAACAAGGTCCCCAACATGGTATACCAAATACCAATGCAACATTTTGAAGATTGCTTTAATACATCAATTTTGAGAGGACGAGTTACCACTCTAGATCAGTGCGAGTTACCCATGAACATGTTTTCATACATTATGTGATTATTCTTCAATTATTATATTCTTCAAGTGCGCAGATGGTTGTTCCCTTCACACCAAGTACTGCCTTGAATCGAGTTGTCGGCAATGTTTGCCTTGTGCCGGTATGGGGTCATTGATGACCATTACTGTTACGTAGTGGCACTTACCTAATCTTATGTTAAGACCGGAAGCTGATTTTCCCTGCACACAATGAGCTGCTGTAACTACCCATTGATCACTAATCAAAGATCCACCACAGAAATGAAATGTGCTACCAGTACGTCTAAATGAAACTTGCCATGGCCAGCTGTTAGGACGAGCTGTTTGACCACTTACTACTTTACCAAGGAAAAAATTTCCCTTACCACAATCTGTGAAGAATCAAAATTAGAGCATGCTTAGCTTAATTTCATACTTCATGTTTCTATTTTGAATTTTCTCAGGTTCAACTCGGACATAGCCTTTTTGCTGCCGAAGGCAGCACCCTATTCTTGACACGCGGTGTTTTCTCCAGAGTCCACTCGACCCAGTCTTTCGCGCGATCTATGTATTGCCGAGACCTCGATTTGTGTCAATCTCGTTCCCCGAGCCTGCGATCCTCGGGAAGGAATCGAAGGCTCTGGGATAATCCGTTACCGGAAGCCAAGAATCCTGGCTAAGATTGAACTACGCATTCCATTTCAATGGCCAATCAGATTCCTCCCTGAAACGGATTATCCCAGAGCCTCGCGTTCCTTCCCGAGGATCGCAGGCTCGGGGAACGAGATTGGATTTGTGTCTGTCTGTAAAGATGATTTCCGGGAGGAATAATTAAGCTTCAGGAAGTTTTTTTAAACGAGGGGGGCGGTCAAACTTTATTTTGTATTGTGCAAGCAGTTTTAAACTTTTAAACGAGACCATACGAGTTTATATGTTGGATTGCAAACGAATATCAAAGAATAAATCAGGTAAGAATGGCTTTATTTCTTTCTGGTGATATACATGAAAGCATTTAATATATTTAGATCTGCTGTTTACTTGTTTAGCATTCGATACAGAGGTATTGAAACATATGATTTCATGATGTCAATAATGTCTTATTTTATATACAAGGAGTGAAAATGCACTTTGAGTTTAAGTTAATTGTTTGTGTGGCGATGTGCCAAGGCCATGAGTTTCATTTTAGATGTTTATAGCAATGGTGCATTCAGCACGTTTTAAAAACAAACGCGGACTGTTACTTGTGCACGTA